AATCCCTTCCCTTGTTTAGGCTAGTGAAGTGTAATCCCTTGAACTCTTAAAGAAATATACTGATTACTTTAATCTTTGGTTATACTTTCCCTTTTGAGTGTTTAAGACCATATGGTTGGCCCAAACAAACCAATTTATTTTTACTGTTAAGATCATTTGAGGATCTGTTCCTCAGGGGTCACATGGGCTTGGGAGGAGCCCCTGGCTCCTTTCTTTTACCAGTTCCATCTATGTGAAGCTAAGTCAAAGGCGCTACTTGACCATGGCTGGCTTCACTTGGAAGCATGGGGGAAATGTTTCCTCTGTGTTGACCCTCCTCTTTGTAAACTGGACACTGGTTCAAGTCCATCTGGTGGGGTCTCCATGGCCTTCCTGAACAAGAGGACAGGTGACTCACTACAGTTGTGGGACATTTTGAGAGATACTGCAGAGTCCCCTGGAACTTAGTCAACTTTGAAGGGCAAAGAGAAAAAACCGCCCTTTAAGTCTCTCTAACCAGATTAGTACAGGCTTCAAAGTATGGCTGTTAAACATCCAAGAAGGTTATTTCCACCCGTCTGGTACTTTTAATTATCATGTGCTATGTAGATAAGGCTTGGGTAAAAAACCAAATATTCTCAGATAAACCTTGACTTTTTGGGACAGGATTTCTCTAGGCCCAGCTGGCCTGGAATTCACTGCATACACTAGTCCGGCCTCATTCTCACAGAGATCCAACTGCCTCTGCTTCTCCACAGTTGAATTAAATGCTTGTGCCAACATGCCCAGCAAGAGTCAAAATCTTATCTTTTAAAAGGTGTATCTTCAACAGGATGGGGGTAGTCATTTGACAATTTAATGGTAGATCAAGTAAAATAGTTATATAACAAATCTTCCCTTGTTTAGGCTAGTGAATTTGTATAATTACATTGGAATATGTAAACAGAATTCAAAACTAAAATCACCAAGCTATAACCATTATTTTTCACTTTAGGTACTCCTAGAATTTTTGATTGACACATTTATCAAATAGCTCTCTTTACCATCTAAAGAAAGGATAATCCAATCTCTGCTGCAAACTGTCACTAGTAATTTACCAGAGTTAGAAGGCTGATCTGCCAAGTAGACAGAAAATTAAAACATGGGCAGCTCTTGATTGGAAATTTATTCATAGCAGGTAATGAAATAGCACAGTCAGGATGGCTGGCATTACTCAGGATGAGGGATTTAATTCTGATAACTTAGATGATGGCACTTGAATCAGAGACTATAAATGGTGACAGGTTGTGACATATAGACAAGATGAAAATGAGCAGCATCTCGCTGCAGAAGTGATTCTATACAGATCAAGTTTTTGAACAGTACATGCAATTATTTTTAAGATCATTTCTAAAGTTTCTAAAGAAGATATTTACACTTCAATTGAACAATGTATCATTTATATATGTGCATATATATGTCAATATATTATTAATCAATTGACAAAAGTAAATATCAGAAAATAAAACATTTAAAATATGTAATGGCAATTGTCATTTCTGATTTCATCTGAATAAGGCACATGTGCAAAAGTGTAGATAGACTATCATAGGGGAAAAAAAGGATGGACTGAGTTTTACAAGCTTTTATATAAAGGATATTCATTAAATGAACTTACTGCTAGTAAAAATCACTTTAACAAAGAATACATTTTTATTTTAGATTTTGTATGGATTTTTACATTTTCTTTTTTAAAAATATTTTTTGTTATTTTTATTTATGTGTTTTCATGCATTGCCTGCATGTAGGTAAGTGCACCCATGACGTGCAATGCCCAGGGAGGACAGAAGAGACTGTCGGATCCCCTGGAACCGGAGTTACAGACAGTTGTTAGCTGCCATGTGGGTGCTGAGATTTGAACATGGGTCTTCTGTAAAAACAGTCAGTGTTCTTAACTGCTGAGCCAGGTCTCCAGTCCCGCTTTTTTTAAATTTTTTTTTATTATTGGCTTTTTACATTTTCTAACCTAAAATGCCACTATTTCTTTTATATAAGAAGTGTGTTTAAATTATTGTTTCTTGTAGATAAAATTCTCAATGCAACTGAAATTTGGGGGAGATAAATAATCATTCACATGGAAATGTGTATTAATTCATCTCTTTTGAATTTATAGTCTATGAATTTTGTAGTCAAATCTTGCGTTAAATGGATATTCTATAAAATACATTTACATTTTCTTACAGCTTCTTCCACTAAATGATGAGTTTACTACCCTTACCTATTGAATCTATGATGAATCAATAGCTTATAGAGGAAATGACACTATATCACTTTCCAGACCCAGACATATGAAACACCATGATGAACAATCTGTCTTTGGAATTCTTAGGAGGAAAGACCAAGCACTATACATAGTGGGTGTCAAAGAAAGAAACTGAGGATTGTGGCGCCCAGCAGACAGTGAGCACCAACTGTTAGTCATGTGAGCAAATCATTCTGAAAGTAGATGTTTCACTTACATTAAGGATAACACAGCTGGTATAAGAACAGAAATACGTGCAAATTATTAATTTAGGAACAGGGTAAACATTTGGTATCTTAAGTCACTAAATTTAGGCTGGTTCGTTACACTGAAAAAAAAAATAGAATGGGAATTTACAAATGAATGCTAAGATTATAAAAATCACTTTAAAGTAATGTTAATAACACATGTCATAATTAATAATAGAATGAAGAAAATGATAAAAAATGACTTTAAATCCAATCAGACATGATAAACAGAACATGTCAAACAAGAGAAGCACACCTTAATAAAAATAAATTTACAGAGTACTAAAGACTAAAAGACAGCAAACATTTCAAATTTTCCTAATAACCTAAAACTAAAATATACATTAGTTATCACACGTACATGAGGAAGATTATGACTAAATTCGACAAAAAAGAAACTAAGTATTAACTATGTCTACTAAATTTGTCTCAATTTTTATAACATAGTCTCTAAATATTACATAAGTCCTTTTCCTTTAAAATGGATAATTTTAAATGCCATTTGAAAGCTTATAGCATAGAAAATATATCATAATTCAAATTAGTAAGAACTTATTGTGTAGCATAAAATCTACCACCTAATGTATTTCATTTTAAGGTATAGTTTTATCAAAATTGTTTTAGAATGTAAAAACAGTATGGTTTCCCACAAGTTTTCATAATGTTCATTTATATGAGATGGGGTCAATCCTGACATACCCAATACTGAACCATGGACTTAAAAAGTTCTTGTGGACCTTCTTCTTTAAAAAATATTTTATTTAGTTATAATTTTTTTATTTTTATTTTTTAGGTGTATGAGTGCATTGCCTGCATTGCACCCATGCCATGCAATGCTCATAGAGGTCAGAAGAGAGTGTCAAATTCCCCCTGAAACTAGTTAGGGATGATGTTAGCCACCGTGTGGGTGCTGGAAACTGAACCCAGGTCCTCTGCAAGAGAAGCCAGTGCTCTTATACACTGAGCCATGTCTCCATCCCCAACATTCTATTTTATAAGCTTTATGCAATAATCTAAGAGTAAGCACAGGTTCAGTTCTTTCATTGCTATAAATTGGTGGCATAAAAAGAAATGCTCAAGAAGGTGACACAAATACAAAATATATGCAGAGAGAGAATAATATCAGTCCTAAAACTCTGCTTCCTCTTGTAATGAAAAGCCTGAGAACAATGATGATGAATTGAGTTGCACCCAAGTGACGCTCTGCCGGAACAGGGACATCCTCTGTGTCCTCTCTTATACATTACGTGGCCTCACTTGACATGAGTGATTCCTACATGCAATGAAGCATAAAGTGCTGCATGCTATTAGGAGTGTAGCAAATTCCTTCCATATACAAGGTATCTAATTTGTGTTGAAAATGAGAAGTCATATTTTCAGAAATATATTTACTGAATGCTTTTCCACACTTTCTATTTTCCAAGCATATATATGTTTATGTATTATGTAACTTGTGAAAGAAAATTTAATTAAACTTTTTTAGAAGCATTCATAGAAAATCAAATATACAGCTTGAGTTTCTCTTCCCTGAAATTCTAAGGATCAGAAGGGTTTTGGTTTTGCAGTGTTGATTGATTTTGGAATATCTGCATATGTAAAATGAGATACATTTGACTTAGGACCCCAGTCCAAACAAAATTGATTTATGTTTTATACAGATACATTACATACATAGCCTGAAGGTAATTTTACAGAATATTTTTAACATATACACATTCTAATTTGACTTATCACATGAGATTGAGCATAAAGTTTTCTACTTGTGCATCACATCAGGACTCAAAATATTTTAGACTGTGGGTCATTTCAGATATTGAGAGGAGGGATGCTCAATTGCACATCAGGTACCTGGTATTTTGCTACTTTCAATCTGAATGACATTATATAGTTATTGTAGTTTCACTTATGGTAAGTGACGACTATCAACTGAAAGAATTTTGAGTTTTCTAATTTTTTTATATCATGCTACTTAAATTTAATCAGCTAAAATACTCTTATGTAAATGAAAGAAAGGGTTCAAGGTATATTTTAACTACTTAAATACTAAACCTCATCTTATCACTGACATAGGGTATATACTAATAAATATTACTCATATATATTAATTCAGTTACAATCAAAACCATGGTGAGAGTGTTAATATATTAAAACATAAAGTAAAATTTTAAATGACCTACTTAAAATAATGTATGCCTCTTTAACAAAGAAGACTTTCTATGGTTAAATCATCCTGATTATGCTTCTTTTAGATGTTAATAAATGATTCACATTAAAACTTTTAAGTATCAATATAACCAACATATTTATGCATTTGCAAAGTTAGAATCAATGTAATACACCATATATCGAGTTGGTATATAGTGGGGAAAATGCTTTTAAAAAATCACATTTAAAGCTTTAAGGAAGTGTAAGATAATGCACAGAAAATTGACATAAAGTAACTGAAATTAATTATAAACAACAAAATCATATTTCATGTTCTATGCAATTACCTGGAGTAGTTAAACAATCTACTGTCCCAAAGTTCATGGGTCCCTCTCGGTCCAGAATGAAAATAACAAGAATCAGTTCCATCAAATATGTTCAACCCATCTTCTGAATTTTTTGAAGCATGGCTATGTACCACATCCAGGAGGACGATGATGCCCATGGAATGAGCTGTGTCAACAAGTTCCTTTAGTTCTTCAGGTGTTCCATAACGACTAAAGATAAAGAACCCAGCAAAATCACAAAATTACATGAAAGCAAATAGCCACCTGTAAAACAATTCCTTTGCCCAACACAGTATTAAATATTTTAAACGCCTACATGCAGCATAATGGTACTTACACATACTCAAAGTTACTATTTCTTACAAAGCAAATAAAAAAGCTTTAAATAAAAATAATTTAACTAACTAGTGAATGTAACTTGCATACTAAATAAATTCACATTTTGGTTATGCAAAATAGTAAAACTCTACTTTTTATCATCAGACACTGGCTCCCATATCTAGGCACAGCCAGTTGTGGTCACTGATGCTTGCCATCTGCTCATCCCTGTGTATAGCTGAGTTCGGGACAAAGGGCCCTGAGAGTGCTCCTTTCATTACAATCTCCTCAGTGTTGTGCATCCTGCACTTGCCCCTAAAGTGTCCTGCAATTAGAGGATCCCAGACAATGTGCCATTTCTGACAATAGTTCACACATATAGAAAAGATGGGCATAAGTAGCCTCAGAGTCACTCTGTAGTAGAAAACAAAAATCTCAAGGAGAATTCCTGTCTTCATGTATGTAATATCTTGACATTACTGTCTTCCATGCATCAACTGCCCTTGTTACTATTATGATCTCTCTTCCTCCATCACAGCACAAGCTCCTTGACAGCACAGGCTGCATCCCTATGGTTTTCCGTGATACAGTGCAATGCTTAGTAAATAGCAAGTCTCCTAATGGGGAATTCTACTGAGTTTAAAAATGTAAAACAAATCATCTCATTCTATTAAAATATCATCCTGTGATCCTAGGGTCCTGAAGATGAAGACTTAGTCATTATCTGGTAACTTCTCATCATACTAGATTCTTTTGCAACACTCTACCCATTCCCTGCCTTATTCCAGCAACACTGCCCTGGTTCTACTCACTAAACAAGTTTTATAAATGAGCAGCCCTTAGTTTCATTTGCCTATTTCCTTCTTTGTTCACCAAATGTTTATTGAGTTCTACCATGAGAATTAGGACACAGATGCATGAGAAAAATATGAAGAATAACACAGCAGATGATTGATACAAACAAAATGAGCAAAGCCCCTCGTGCAAAGCCACATTTTCTATTTTAATGACATCAGGGAAGGGTCTTTGAAAATGGCAATATTGAGTGACAAAAGAGGAAGGGGGAAAGCTCAAGGATACCTAAGAGGTTGAGCATTCAGAGAAGAAGGAAAGGCAGGTAAAGCAGCATTTTGGTAGGAAGGAGTCAATGCATTTGAAAACCAAACAGGATCTGGAGTGAAATGGATAACAAAGAAAGAGCTGAGGCTAGAGTTAGACAAGAGCCAGATAAACAGGGCCTTATAAACCAATGAAAATTCTGTGGTTTTCTGAAAGAGATAGTGGGTCCCTGAAGAGTTCTGAGCAGGAGAGTGACACGATCTACATTCACTTTTAAATGGTTATTTTGGCCATGATAAGGAAAATATATTTGAATTGAAATAGAAAGCTAAGAAAGAAGAAAGAGTACAAGAAACAAAACAGAATGACCATGAAAGTGCTGCTGAAATACCTCACATAAAAGAGAACAGCAGTGGGGGCAGATGAGCAGCCAATTTGGGGATACATTTTGAAGTTGACAGATGGCTAGGTTTTATAACAACTAGAGTGTAAGAGGGGTTGAAATGGAACGGTGATGTACAATGCCAAGATTCTGGCATGAACACTTAGAAGATGAAAATGTCAGTTATTGAATTTGAACGGATGAAGAAGGAGAAGGATAGAAGAGATGGTGAGGGATTTAATATGTGGTATATTGAAGATCTGTATTAGATGTCCTAGAGTCCAACAGACTAGAGCACACATCATGTAAGAACTGGAGACTGAAACTAGGGAGTTTGCAAATGGAGTGCATTAAAATCAGGGGAATGGACAGAAAATGAAAAGAGAATGAGGAAGTTTAATATTTGTTGGAACCAAAGAGGAAGGTGAAAGAGCAGCAGGAAAAAGCCAAAGAAATAAGGAAGCAGCCGAGTGAGGTGAAAACACAGCAGCAGGGTAACATGCTTTGGAAGTCAAGAGGGTGGAAGGAAGCTTCTATGGCACAGGGCTCTGAAAGCTTAAGTCAGTTCAGAAAAGACCGCTGTATTTCTAGTGTGAAGGTAATCAATGGCCTTAACAAAAGTCACTTTTGGTAGAAAGATAGACAACTTACTAGAATGAGTTCAAGAAAGAACAGGTATGAAGGGTTAGAGAGAAGTACAAGTAGAAATAAATAAATTAGTATTTCTTTCTGGAATATTATACACCTAAGCCTACTCATCCCTTTCCCCCACACAGTTTAGATCCACTTCAAATACCAGCTCAGATCTAATCTGTGTTCAAACTTTTGGTATAGCACCACTTTCTTCTTAGCTTTTATTAACAGGAGAAATCAGAATAGGTATGATTACTAGATTAATGTCTATATTGCCACATGTAAATTCCATGAGGTAGAATTAATGTTGGATATATTAAAAATATGGTCATCAAAGTCAGACCTCATCAACTGCAAAGGACCTCACAGAGTCTCCCCAGAGAACTATCTCCCTCAGATTTCAGTTATATATTCTAACCACAGGCTCTGGTGTCCTTCTACGCTGCTTCAAGTTTGTCATCTTGACACAAACTAGAGTCACCTGGAAAGAAGGGAATGGGGGCTGGAAAGATGGCTCAGCAGTTAAGAGCACTGGTTGTTCTTACGAGGACCAGGGTTAAGTTCCCATGACCCACATGGCACCTAACAACCATTTGTAACTCTCCGGTCCAGGGGATCCAACACCTTCTTCTGAACTCCTCAGTCATTGCACTACATGGGTGCACTTACAAACATGCAGCCAATACACTCATACACACAAAAAATTTTTAAATAAATGTTTTTTTAAAAAGAAGGAATCTTAAATGAGCAATTTCCTCCATTGAACTGGCCTGTAGACATGTCCTGTGGAACATTTTCTTGATCACAGCTTGATATAGGAAGGTTCAGCCCAGTGTGGGGAGTAACAGCCCTGGTAGTGGGCAGGAGGGCCTGGCTTTTATATTTAAAGTAGCTGAGCAAGTCAGGGGTTAAAAACCACTAAGCAGCATCCCTCTGCTTCAGCTACTGCTTCAGTTCCTGCTCTGAATTTCTTCAAAGATGAACTGTGCCTTGGAAGTGAAAGATGAAATAAGCCTAATCATATATAGAACTCCTGTCCCATCTGTACTCCATTGCAGCACCTTCCATCAAATTTTTGGCATTCTGTTATATATGTTAATGCCTATCATCAAGTCAAGCTTTTGTACCCAGATTCCTTAAGTGCAAGTTCATCCACTGGAGTCTAGTCAGCCTATCTAGAGTCACTCCCTCAAGGATCTACCTTCCCTCACCCAGCAGTAATCAATTACCAATAGTTCCTTGACTAAAGTTGTGCCTGCTGCCCATTTCCCCAGTTTTATGCTGGGTTTTTGAGTTGAGTCAGCATGCATTTTGTGAAGGCTGTCACCACTGCTGCAAGTTCATATGGTCAAGCTTCCAGAGGCTTGGAAGACTCTGCATCCTTATGTTCATGCACTAACACTGGCTCTTACAATCTTTCCACCCGTCTTTCACAAGGGTCCCTGAGCCACAGGTAGGTGGGGTTTTAGATATGAGTCCTAAACAGGGATATGCACTCTGCAGTCTCTTATTCTTTACATCTTGACTAGTTGTGGCCTTTTGTGGACATAGCAATCTGTTGCATGAAGAAGCTTCTGTGGTGAGAGTTCGTCAGTGTTTAATCATAGCCACAGAAAGCAAACTAGGACTGCTTCCTCTCTACATCCCAGTCTCTTTTCACAAAAATGTGTGAGTTCTTTCAATAATAGTTTCCACATGACACTGTTTTCTGACTAAAATACATGCCTCCAAATGTGTGCTTCAGTTGGCAAGTAGACATTCATCATGAGAAGTCATTCCATGAAAAGTGACATTAAATCAGGACAAAGTGAGGCTACTACATACCCTAAGTAAAATAAAATGTTCAGCTTCCATTAACTCTTAATCATTTATGATAAATGAGGTTACAAAACTATGTTAAATGTTAAATTTTACTTTTATTATTTATGTTTATTAATTTTATTATTAGAAATGTAAATGAAGATATGATTTTCACTTTACCTTGAAGCTGCAAAAAAGCTAGTGATTTGGTACCCAAAACTGGCATAGTAAGCATGCTCCATGATTGCCATCAACTGAATACAGTTGTAGCCTATAAAAACAAACCCCAGAGAAAGTCAATGCTGCATTAAGGAATGTTCTAATAGTCTAACACTTACCAATAATCTTGAGGCACCAATCATCCAGAAAAGTTCTATAACTTAATATTGTCAGTAGTCTGACCTTATAACACGATCGGACATTTGGTCTCTTAGAATTATATGGTGACTAGATTTTTGAAATTTCTTCATTTTAATAAGCAATAACTGATAAGCAAATACATAATTGATTTTACATTAGAATATTAAAAATAGAAATCTGCATATGTTAAACTTCTGTTGTACTTGTAATATCCCCATAGAAGATTGTGAAGATAAAGAAAAGCAATTGATAGTATAATATACACTTTTCCTAAGCCTTTTTCATGATAATTCACATATTTTACTATATAGCATAAGAAATATTAGCAAACTCATTTTTTTTAACAAAGTAACTTTTCTGAAGCCAGGATAAATGAACCTATGAAATCACTCTACAGCAACACATGTGTATCATGTGCACAGCCAGAAACATGCCAAAATAACCGTCTTTCTTCCTCCATCTCAATACGATTTGCTCTAATAAAAATGAAGTCACTCAAAAAGTGGGAATTGTACTTCAGGAATTCACAATGCTTGAATGCTTGTAAGGTTAGTTATAAGAAAATAATCGGAAAAAAGAAGCTCTTGACCTTAAAACAAAGAAATTTTTTAAAAAGCTCTAGAAAATCAGAGCTTCCTTCTTCGTAGTACAGTCTTACTATTTTTCAAATAAAGAAAAATTTTTTAAAGTTCTAGAAAATCAAAGCTTTCATCTTCGAAGTAGTCTTATTATTTTTCAAATATGACCTGATTGCTGTGAGAAAGAAAAGACAGAAAATTAATTTCATTCTTTTGTGTTACTATGTTATGTCTTCTTGTATCTATATTTTAGAACATCATTAATTCTCTAATAGTAACAAATAAAAATTTAAAATTAAGAATTTATACATTCGAAGTTGAGTATGCATCACTTCCAGATTTCATAACTGGCTTTTTGTTGTAACAGTAAATAATTGAACTATCAAAACTGAGAGAAACAGAAGTCAGTATCTTCATCTGATGGTGTATATAAAAGATCATATATTTATAATACAATTTAGAGCAATAGTTTATTTCTCTATTATACAATAAGCATTCTTATAGAGTACCAATTTATAACTTTAGTATGTGTTTGATTAACACTAATCATTCCTCCATTTATTTATTATCTAAGTATGGGGCTATGCAATTCAACACAAAGATGAGCAAGAGAATCCTTGTGCTCCTGAACCTCTTATTAAAAACTAGGTCTCAAATAATTTACTATTCTATATTCTATAAAATGAAATGATTCAATTGGGCAATTGTAACATAATATATATAATAAGACTAATAAATCCTATATGTATTTAATTAATTTTTATTTCTGGATTGTAATTCACTATCATAGAACATTAAGATGTATACATAACTGAAAATAATAACTGTGACTTACAAATCCTTTCTCTAGCCAAAACATCAACTTCCTGACAGAAATCTATGATAAAATATACTGATTTATATTTTATATTACTTTATATTACTGTCCAGTTACTGCAGCTAAAAGGACTGTGGGCTTCATTTTAAGGGCAAGAACCTGAGTCCTAGCTGAGGCTCTATGGACAACTGACAGATTCTGGGAGAGGAAGAATCAGTTTTCTTTAAGGTGTCAAACCTGGTGGGTTGACCAGGCTCCAAGGGATGGACCACACCCAAGAGCATATGGGGAATACAAATTAGACTCAATAGACCTTTTAAAAAGAAAATAGATAATAGAGGACATGAAGTGGTGGGGGCAGTAAATTGGGGGTAGAAAAGGCAGGAGGGAGTCTAAATATGATGAAAACACATTGTATGAAAATTTCAAGTTACCGATTAAAATATTTTTAAAACTAGAGAAAAGCATTACCTCTAAAAAAAATATAATAGACATAGTGTCTGCTGAACCAAGCAGTCAGCCACACACTATTTACTCTCCTGTTTGTATGCATGAAGAAAGTGTGAATCAAGGTAGCCCAACACATGAACATCTCAAACAATGCATTTCAGGCAAAGCATGTTCCATACACACTTGGACACTATACAATAAATGACCCAAATTGAGTTCCAGACACTGTATAAATATGATTTTTTTTCCATAAAAGAGTAAAATGAACAGGCTATAATCAATGGCCACTTCAATTGATAAAGGTTATCTCCTGTAGAAAAGTAATTACACTAGCATATTTATCTACAGTTTTGGAAGCCATCAGTTCACATTACTTCAAATTGAATTTGGAATAATATCTTGAATTCTTATGCTCTATCTCATTCCATTTTTCTGTGCTATCACTATTACAGGGCAATTCAAGAAGTCTAAAATAAAATGCATTTCTATTACATATTTAATCTGTTAGCACAAAAAAGAGACACTTGTAATTATCTTTTCTAATAAGAGAACAGACTCATTAAAATTTTATCTGAATAAAAATCACAGTTATTACTTACCAAGGTCTTTGATTCTTGGTAGTACACTGCTTGTAAAATGTTTATAAGAAGCTATTTTTCCTTCATGAGAAGAAATTCCCACATGAGATTCATAAATTCTTAGACTTCTTGGTTTCTTAGGTCTGGAATGCTTAAACTAAAGAATGTGAAATTACATGCAGCATTTAAACCAAAAGAACTGATATGACACTAATTGAGCATAGGAAAGGAAACAGTAGATAAATTTGAAACACCTGAAAGTAATTTTCCTCTAAAAGGCACAGGTTGCATTCACTCTTTGAGGTTTTGTTTTATTTGGGGGGAGGTTAGAAAAGAATGCTTTATAGGATCTTATTAGTAAATTCATTTCAAAATCAAATAAGGTTTCTGCATTATCACTGAGTGGGAGTTGTTTTTTTTGTTGTTGTTGTTGTTTTTCATTTTTTCTTTTTTAACCTATGTCAATGAAGTACACAGGAGTTAAAGGCCAAAAACGTGAGTTCTAAGATACATATAGCACTTGGTAAAAACAGAATGATAGAGGGCTAGAGAGATGGCTCAGAAGTTAAGAGCACTGGCTGTTCTTACAAAAGGCACAGGTTTGGTTGCCAGCACATGGTGGCTAACTATCATCTGTATCTGTAACTCCAGTTCCAGAAGATCTGTAAACCTCTTCTGTCGTCCAGAGGCAATGCACTTCAGGAGTGCATAAAATAAACCTAATTTAATAGGAGACAGACAGCCACCCTACTGCCCTTTCCATAAAGGCACTAATCTAGCTCTACAACTACGGTAGCAAGAAATATAACATTATTTAAACCTTTGATACAATGGAAACTATAATTCAAAAATTAGTATTCCTTATATGCAAGTATAGAATTTGTATTTTTGTCTAACATCAAAAAAGAATGAAACCAAAATTATTTGGGTATTTCATTGGCTGCAGTGGACAGACTTTGATATAAAATATCTAATGTAAGAACACTATCAGAAACACACTAATGTTTTTCCACAAGTGAAAACTTTGAACATTACAATTAAAGCTATGGAAGTAAAAATTAGAAATACTGGAATAAGCAATTATTCGCAATGATTTGCTGTTCTCACCTTATATGGGTCTTCTGGATCCCAGTGAACCCAATCATAGTTCACATTGTCATTTTCACGAACCACATACTTTGCCCAAGGGGATATACGATACAAGATCTCTCCACTTTTACTAGTAATAACTACCTAAAAAGATGAGATATGACTGTTTTTAAAATACATTCACAACTCTCAAATAAAACATAATAGTCAATGAGCAATGCTAAACAAAAGAAGGAAATGTAGGCAAGAATTTAGGTAAATAGTTGTGTTTCCTCAAAGAATATATTTAAATTCTTTATTTGTCTGCTATCACTACATGATCCTTAAAGTCATCTATAAAGTTGATATTTCATGATTGTCTGAAAATGTTCAACTATAAAGTGGTTACATATATTAGATATACATACATTAGATATAAAGAGAAGAAGATTATTTGGAAGTTGTCATCAATAAATCAATCAAAGGAAATATTCATATTCTTCAAGAATGGGGAAAGATAATTATATAATCATTTCCCTTTCTTCTTCAGGGAAATGAATGACAACATTTTCATATGCTGAAGGAGTAGACTGGTTTAACCTTGAATTGTGCACACATACAAAATTATTTTCCACCCATTCTCTACTTACTGAGTACCCTCAACAACATAAAAAACAAAAACAAAACACTTTTTCTCTGGCCATCCACTCCATTAAACTATAGTTTTCAAAAATAAAAGATAACAATTGGGCAATCAAGATGGCTCAGTAAGTAATGGCACTTGTGCCAAGCTTGAAAACCAAATTTGATCCCAGGAATTCATACAGTGAAAGAGAAAACTAACTCCTGTAAGTTGACCTCTGACCATGATGCTATGACACCCCCCCACATGCACACATATACCATATGCATACAAAATAAATTAATAATGTAAACTAATAATTTTAAAATAAAAAGATAATAGTAAAATATAAATGCATTTGAGTTAATATTGAATAAATCAATAAATCAATAAAAACGTACTTTCAACATGAAATTGTATAAAACATTTGAGTATACCTAGCCACATAAATGGAGCTACCAAGTAACTGAAATTATAGCTTTTTACAAAGTTGTAATTTTTACTAAACTTTGTAAAAGCAGGTGGAGTATGAGCAAAAGTGTTCAGATTATTAACTATGCTCAGCATTGAGAGAAAATATATGGTCTAGTCTGTCTTTAATGGAGAAAAGCACAGGTACTCCAAACTGCCCAAAATTAAATCTTTGTATAAGACTTTATAATTTAGAAAAGACTTTTATATTCATATCTCACTTGATTCTAGAAGAGCTTCATATTAATCCAAATATAAAGGGACATTAAGCAAGTTTCTATAAACCCCCAAATCTCTGAGTGGCAGAGCCACTGGGTGAACGCAGTTTCTGATGCTACTTGCTCTGAAGTAGTTTCTGCAGTGTGTTATTCAGATATCAAATGAGAGGGCCAGTGAGTGACAGAAAGCAATATCCAACTAACAAACACAACCTTTTTTCCTTGTTCGTTGTTTGGCAAACTTACTAAAGCCTTGCTATTATTATCAAAAATGCATGTATCAATGGCACCAATCCAACTCATGAGTATTTAATGCACCCCCCCAAAGTCCCTTGAGCCATGTAAAGTATTAATATAATGTAGACTATAACAATAAAAGGTCCATCTGCTCACTCACATACCCAGAATAGCTATTAAGAAATAAATAACATGGGGCTGGAGAGATGACTCAGTGGTTAAGCACATATGCTGCTCTTGCAGAGGACCACAGTTTGGTTCTCATTACCCATGCTGCATTGGCTGACAACTACCATAACTCTAGTTCCAGGGTATCCTCTGGCCTCCAGGGGCACCTACAATTACATGTATAAACCCCCAAACATAAAAAAATAGAAACACACAGAGAAAAAAATATTTTGAAAAAGAAATAGAATACTATAACCAGTTTCAATGAATAATACTCTTCCTATCCTTTCTGCTTTGTAATAGGTCTACAACTCTCCAAAGGCTGACTTGTAAACAAAGTTAATTTTTTGAACTTTTTGAATTTCATACAATACGTTTTGATCATATTTAGATGCACTCCACTATCTGCACACCCCATAGCCTCCTGACATAAGATTTCAGGTACTCTGTCATATATATAAAGCCTATCGAACAAAGTTGGTAATCCCAAATGTCCCTCAAGTGAGATCATCCACTGGAGCCTGTTAAATTTAGTAAGCAGCAAATAGTTTTGATTTTAGCCACAGAAGTCAGAAGATGGCATCAGATCCCCTGGAACTGGAGTTATGGATAGTTGCTGGCCAAGAAGTAGGTGATGGAAACTGAATTTGGGTCCTCTGCAAGAGCAGTCAGTGTTCTTAACTGCTGAGCAATCTCTCCTGTCTCCAAAGTTATTTTTGAAAGTAGCTATTAGTGGGAGAATATTTGAAGCTTTAGGAACTTAAGCAATCTAACTCATGCTGAGTAATTCAACTTCCTTTGGAACATTAAATTGTTTACCTTGCTGTACATTCAAATATTTTCATAGGCTTCTGAGGAACAGGCACTGTACAAGCCTCCAATGAACCTACATCATGTGCTGGAGTTATACCAGTGAGATGATATGGATTAGAATGTCCTTGATAGGCTCCAAGTATCTGAAAACTTGGCCCCAAGTGGTGGCACTGTTAACAGAGGTTTAGGAGGTATGGCTTTACTGGAGGGAGCACATCACTGGGGGTGGACTTTCAGAGTCCATAGGCTTGGCCCACTCCAGTTTGGCTTTCTGTTTCCTGCTTGAATATGTGAGTGCTCAGCTTTCTGCTCTAGCCACCTCTGCTACCATGAATCTGCAACCCTGATGGACCCTTATCACTCTGGAACAGTAAGCCAAATAAATACACTCTTCCTTCCCAGCTAATAACGAAAATGCAAAGCTCTAGCTGTTGATACTAGAATCATTTTTTAAGTTTGGTAAGTTGCCTTGGTCATGGTGTTTTATTACAGCAACAGAAAAGCAGCTAACAACGAAAATGCAAAGCTCTAGCTGTTGATACTAGAATCATTTTTTAAGTTTGTGCTAAGGGATGTATTTCTCAGAGACATAGAGCAGACAGTCTTACAATTTGCTATATAAAAAAATGGATTCGCCAAGCTCAATATTCCCCAACTATAATGCAAACCCACTGAACAAGTGGCCAACCATCGTCAACAATGTCAACTCTATGTGGGTGGGAGAAAAGAGGAACCAATACAAACATGATAGCACAGTGCTTACAATGCTGTGTCTTTGACCTAGGAGTTCTAAGTTTATTGCCAATTTTTATGAAGCGGTAATGGGAAAACTTGTAAACTTGTCAGTAGGGTATAATCGAAGTATAAACCTAACAAGATATCATTTGTTCCTTCATCAAAAAATTCATTTTCCCCCAAATATTGTTTCTTCTTTCTCTAACAATAATTTCTACTAAGATTATCTATTATAGTGAAGAATTCAAACTTGTAGTTCCCTCCTCCTTCTCTTTGCAAGGAAATTATAGCTAAATGATATGTAGCTCAAAGCTTTCCATCAAACCTGAAAACTGTAAGACTATTCCATAATAACTTTCTTTAAGCTGCTGTTGTTTGAGCTGTCCTAGTGAATATACTGCCTATATGAAATATCTCACTTGGCTTTGTATAGTCTCTTCCCAACATTTTTTATTCTTGGAACTCAATTAACAGCACTATGATAAAATCAACAAGGAGACATTCTGAAAAAGAAAATATATATTGTCTTTGGTATGTAACTTTGCTTATAAAACTTTGTGGGGTGGGGCTTCCTGAATCTTTCCTAGGTTCCAATAAGTTTCAATTCCAGTTAAACAAAGATTTTAAATGTTAGGATTTCTGCATGCTACAGCAAAGTGATCATTTAAAGTTGTTTTCTGTTGTTGTTGTTGTTGTTGGAATTTTGTGTATTTTGTACAGAATATCCCAAACAATCTTAGTCATCTTTATATCCCCTTCGCAACTGGCACCCTCCCATAGCCCCTCCACACACTGGAACCCATATACTCTGTCATCCCTGTCTAAGGCCCACTGTGTCAAGTCAGCATCCCCAGACATTCCCCAGCACAAGTTCATCCACTGAGGTCTAGTCAGTCTATCTAGAATATCTTGTTTTAGGAAGAGCAGCTCCTCCTCACCTAGCAGCAATCCATTGCCAATATTTCTTCAGCTAAGATTGGGGACTGATGTTCATTTCCCCAGTTCTTTGCTGGGTTTTGTCTGCTTGATTTTGCATGGGATTTGTGTATGCTGACACCATTACCATTGAATCATATAAGCAGGGTCCCAGGAGCTTGTTGGACTCTGTTTCTACATGGTCATGTGCCTCCTCCTGGCTCTTACAATCTTTCTACCCTCTCTTCCACAATGGTCTCTGAGCCCTGGGTGGGTGAAGTTCAATGCAGGAGTTCTATCCAAGGACCATATACCCAAAGGACTCATCCTATTGCAGAGACACTTTCACATCCATGTTTGTTGCTGCTCTTTTCACAACAGCGAAGAGATGGAAGCAACCTAAGTGTCCCTCAACTGAGGAGTGGATAATGAAAATGTGGTACATTTATGCAATTGAGTTCTAATCAGCAGTGATGATGAAATATTGAAATTTGCAGGTAAATGGATGGAACTAGAAATGGTTATACTAAGTGAAATACCATAGACTCAAAAAAAAAAAAAAAAAAAGATGTATGTTCTCCCTCCTATGTGAATCCTAGCACCAAATCCTTATATGTGGATATGTATCCAGATGAAACTGCAGGAACCAGAATAATGAAAAGGAATCAGGGAGGTAAAGGGAAAGAAAGAACCTGAAAGACAAGAGCAGGTAGGAGACAGGTGTTACTAAGGGAGAAATGGATAAAAATTGGGCTACTTAGATGGGAGGGGAGATGGAGGTTTATACAGGGAACTTTGGGGATAAAGGGAAAGAAGGAGCTCAAGAGAGGTGGGACCATAGGAGACTGGTATTATCAAGGGAGAAATGGGGGAAATGGGGACACTTTAAATGGGGAAACCATGGTGAAAGGGTTAGCCAAGGAGAGAGAGTGGAGAGATAAATAATGCCTAGCTAGTTTTAAAAATCCAGAAAGAATCACATTAGC